CTACCAGGGCACAATATTGTTTAACTGAGTTAATATATGCTTATCTTTAGAGCTGCTTTATAAGGCTGTTCATCCTTATTCTTGAGTCATCCAAAGGTTGAGTTAGCATAATGTGCGCACAGGCATGTGGTCTGCTAATTACTTTTTAATAGTTCAGGCTGCCATCTCTTCTAAGTTCTCTGTCCTCTCTGTCTCCTTAGTTTCATGATGTACTATTGTAAAATCTAAATAATGAGTTATTGTGTCATAAATTAATGGACTGTGGAATTAAATAGTAATTTGAAATAATATAACCCACGTTTCCTCTTTGTCTTATAATTATAGATATTCCTTGACTATACCAAAGATGGGTCGAAGTTTGTTTTTGGGGATCTCATCGACATTTTTGCCTTTCAAGTGAGTGGATGAGAATATGTTCTTTCTTAAAAATGGGCACTTAACCAAGATTGAAAGCAGGATAGTTATTGTAATTTAATGTAATTACTTAGTTTTAATTTCTTCCTCAGGCTTTGCCCATTGTTGTGTTCTTCAGCAGTGTGATGTCAATCCTTTACTATTTGGGGATAATGCAGTGGCTCATTCTGAAGGTAAAGAAAACTTGTACCTTACAGTTTCATAGGTTCCTGTAGGTCTGGGTGTATAGTGATTATGCCTGCAGTAACATACTATGACCAAGAGCCATGTGTTTTTGTCCACACAGATCTCATGGCTTATGCAGATAACAATGGGAACCTCTCCCACAGAGACCTTGAGTGTGGCAGGCAATATATTTGTTGGGCAGGTACTTTGGGCAAGGCTAGATGTCTTTCAACACTATCTTTCTTGTCAGACAACATATTGCTTTGAAATTGCCTGAGCTTGATTCTCTCTGTACTTTAGTTTTTTGATTACATAAACTATCATTAATATTTGCAGTTAAAAAAACTACAGTTACTTTGCCTGTTTACATTTGCACCATGTTTTTCAGACAGAGGCTCCACTGCTGATCCGTCCCTATTTGAAGGACATGACCAAATCTGAGATCCATGCTGTTTTGACAGGTGGATTTGCGACAATTGCTGGCAGTGTCATGGGGGCATTCATCTCATTTGGAGTGAGATATACCACTACATAACTCATTCATATAATGAAAATAAAAGTATATTTATACAGCACGTAAAAAAAAGATGCACTAGAATGAGCTTCTCAAAAGATGAAAAACACACGTAAAAACTCAAGAACAGGCATATTCAAAACATTCAAAAAGTAGTTTTTAAAGAGACAGCAAATATAAGAGACATTTTAAAATGGATAAAATGGTGAATGGCGCATAGATAAAATGCTTGCCTTTGGTGTGGGAGACCTGGGTTCAATTCCCACTGTGAGACATCCACCATTGTGTCCCTGCGCAAGACACTTAACCCCTAGTTGCTCCAGAGGTGTATGACCTCTGACAATTGTAAGTCGCATTGGATAAAAGCGTCAGATAAATGTCATGTTAAATGAATAACAATCTATATTGTGGGTAAATGCTTCTGGGTAAAAGTAAGTTTAAGTTTCTTTTAAAGTTATAAGTGAGGTCTAGAGGGAGACTACTCCAGAGTGTCGCCCAGTAAACTAAACTAAATGCAGTATTGCCACAAGCAATAGTTCCTGGAGGGAGGAACAGTTAATGCGATTTATTCAGAACATAAAATGCGAGGAGGCCAGTGAATCCATCTGGAGTGAGACTTGGAATTGAAAAATGGTGATTTGAGTACTCAGTTTAACGTTGGTGAAGCTGCAGTACTTTAAACCAGTTGTAGATGTTTGATAGTATTCTCAGGAAGTAAACAGTGCAATGTAGTAATCAAAACAAACAAAAGACTGAATGAGTTTTTCACATTTGTCCCAACATAGAAGTTAGTGGTATAAAGCCACTGTTAAATAAACGCGTAGTTATTTCTTGTGCTTTAATTGCTATCAAAGAATACTCTCAGAAGTGTTGAGAGAATGTGCACTAAGATTTGAAATTATGTCTTGTTTGACTAAAATCTTTGTTTTGCACTTAACTGAAGAAGATTTCTGAATTGAGCCATACAGTTTCTGAAAAACTATTTGCAAGGCTGTCAACAGGATGAAGCAGAAACGTAGAGAGCTGTGTGTCTCTGCGTAGCAATGGAAACAGATAACATGAACCTTGGGTCACACCGCAAGAAATATTTTTTCCGCAAGGGAAAAAGAGTAATCTCGGCCTGTTAGGTACAGTATCTCACAAAAGGGAGTAGCCCTTCAATCCTCAGATTTTTGTGAATATTTGATTATAACTTATCATGTGACAACATGATAAGTTATGCAAACTCTACACTCACTACTTTAAATTGTAGCAAAGTGTCATTTCAGTGTTACCTAAACCAGTAAGGGCGAGTGAGGCTAACCCATGTCACCCACAGTGAAATGAAAATAAAATAGTTTCTCAAGTATTTTGCTCAAAAGTCATCAATCTCAAGTGCTTTTCCTCCGAAGTGGCAGAACTATTTTGAAGGTACCTGAATGAATGTTGCTTATTATTGCAGTAACTTCAACCTGGATTAAATGACATTTTGTTGCACTTTGCAGATTGATGCATCTTCCTTGTTATCAGCCTCTGTGATGGCTGCCCCTTGTGCCTTGGCCATCTCCAAACTTTCTTACCCAGAGACTGAGGAGAGTCCCTTCAAGTCAGAGAAGAATATCAAAATGGCTTGTGGGTATGTATACCTTTCCCTTTATTTCTTCTCTTCCCATTCATGATTTTTTTTGCCTTTGATAATTTAATAACTATTTTTTTAAAACTCCCCAGAGATGAACGGAACATTTTGGAGGCTGCTAGCAGTGGAGCGTCTGCTTCAATAAGCCTTGTTGCTAACATTGCAGCAAATTTGATAGCCTTTCTTGCCATCTTCGGGTTCATAAATCAAGCTTTGAGTTGGTTTGGAGGTATGGTGGGATATCCTTCAATCACATTTCAGGTACTTCTTAGCAAAAGACTGATAGCTTAAGTGTGACATTTTGATAATGTGCAATACGTTAGGGGGATTTTTAAATTTGATTTATTCATTCAAGTATAATATCAAAAGCGGTTAACCTAAAAATGCACTGGTGATCAAAAGATAAAAGTTATAAAATGACAATCCCTGTCAAAAACAACAATTAGATGTTTAATAAATAAACATTTAAATAACTAATATTTAATTATTTGAATTAGTTTTGATGATGTATTTTTTATTTTTATCATATTTCACAATTTAACTAATTACTGAGATGTAGGCCTAAATATATTTACTGTATTTATGCACACATTTCACATACTTTGTTTGCTTGAACTGTAAATTTAACAAGTGAGTCTAACAATATCCAAATAACCTTATGTCCCTTTGTGCTCATAGCTTATTTGCTCTTACGTGTTCATGCCTGTGGCCTTCATGATGGGAGTACCATATGATGACAGTTTCATTGTGGCTGAACTAATTGGCACCAAACTCTTCCTCAATGAGTTTGTGGCTTATGAGAAACTCTCTAAACTAAAGGAAAACAGACTCAAAGGACTTATTGAGTCGATATCTGTGAGTAAATGTTCTGTGAGTTTGAATATTGTAAGTGTGGATTCGCAAAAAGTACAAATTCATGAGCACTGCAAAAGAATTTGGAAGGGAGACACAAAATAAAAATTATTTTGTTTTTCTTGTTTCAGGTTCGATCAGAAATAATCACCACTTATGCTCTTTGTGGGTTTGCCAACTTTAGCTCATTGGGTATTGTGATTGGAGGCCTATGTGAGTATTTGGTCATCCCATTCTCAATGAAGATACTCTCTCAGTAATGATTTTTGACACGGAGTATTTTCTTTTCTCAAAGCCGCTATATGCCCATCCAGAAGAGGCGATGTCTCATCTCTGGTGTTGAGAGCTATGATCACTGGGACTTGTGTATCTCTTGTCAATGCTTGCATTGCAGGTAAGCACTTTTGAATTGAACTGGCAGTGCAGTTTAACTTGTTTCCTATTACACTGTAACTGAGTAGCTTTTTCACTGATTTCTCAGGGATCCTCTTTGTTCCTCCACTTGTGGACTGTGTAGAGCTGTTCAAGATATCTTCTTTCAATGCCACAGATGTAAATATACAAAGTTGCTGTGAAGACCTCCTTAAAAAGTAAGCATGTACATTTTTGTTACAAAGATACTTTGAGTTGGCTTGATGAAAATGTTATGGAAAACACATTGGGTTAGTGACCCATATGGTTAACAGATTCTTAAACGTGAAGTTGAGTATCTTTCTTGATATGGGGCTGTTTGAACTTATACTCAACTTAAATTAATTATTTTGCAGCACTGTAAACAATGGGACCATCTCGTTTGAAGGATCATGGACCACAGTAGCAAATGTCACTGTGTTTTTCTCAAAATGTTGTCAGTGTTGTGGTCTTTCTGATGTTTGTAAGTAGAGGCGAAGAACATATCAGTGTCTGTTTTTATGCTATAGTTCATTTACGTGTCTCCATGTTTGTATATTAGTGTCACTAATATGTCACTGCTAATGTAAAAATGTAAAGCCTCTATGCATGTCTTTTAAAGATGGTTATGTCTTTCATGTGTTATATGTTAAATTAATTCCAGAGATGGGCCTTTTATTTAAAGCCAAGGATTAGAAGGACACACATGAAGAAGTATACCTCCTGAAAATCTTCAGGCATCAACAGTTTGATGAATGTAAATATTTAAAATAAAACTGTGTAACTCAAGTATTTTATAATGTTATTGATAATTACACATACATGGTCATACTTTTTGAAAAAATAAAAACCTATGAAAATGAAACGTGAACTATGCTTTTATACATTTGCATTTATTTTTAAAAAAAATTTGCTGACATAACAAAGACAACACACATTGTTAACACACATTTATTCTTCTTTCTTATTTGCTCATTCATTTCTCACACACTCACTCAAACGTTTACAATTTTTAATTCTCACTACTTCACATATTTAGTCCTTTGACTCATGTATGTATGTATGTATGTATGTATGTATATGTATGTACACATAAACAGAATACAACAGTTTGTTTGCATGATATCACACCTTAACATTACAATGTTTTCACTGTTATATGCTGGGTCATTTCACATCTATTTGAATTTGGGGTTTCTATCATAGACTATCATGCAATTACAGTTACAGTTTTTTTAAGCAATGGCAGCTGATGTTTAAGAGGGGCTAACTGCACTCATATGAAGACTTTCATTAATCATTAACCAATAATCTATTACAGAAATTCCTAAAAATTTCTTGTCAGTTTTTTTTATTATTTGTCAAAGGCAAGTGACTTTTAACCATAAATGCCTGTGCAAACACGAGATAGCTGAATAGTTTTCATTGGAATTTAGATTATAATTTATGTTCAAACTATGCTGGCTTTGCAACTTAAAGCCAGCAAAAAAAATAGGCAATGCTAAAGCAAAACGTGATTGTCAGATGCCGTAAAACTTAACTTAAAACAGATTTCATGCAGGGAGCCGTACTTAGTGATCAATAGGCTTCTGAAAGTCTCTAGCATGCTCTTTTGGTTATTTTGTTTAGTGTGCTTTTAACCCACAGTCCAAATAACTGTGAGGAACTCATTCAACATCTTTCCTTGTTGGTGGGAACACACTTGTTAATGAGCGTGAGCATACCATAGTTAAAGAGTTTACTAGTAATCCCATGACTGCTCATTGCTTTGACTGTGGCATGCAACAACATTCATTCTGACATACTGTAAAAGACGGTTTAAAGACACAGACACAACAAAGTACTCAAAAACTACTAAAAAGTAATGCCAAAACAAAGTGCACACAAACATCTTTGACCTTGGCGTGTAAAGAAATGCTGCATAGGCAGTTCTAATGCAAACCATAAACAACTCTAAAATAAACTTTATGCCTACACACATACTGTACATCACAGATGAACGTGCAGCCTTTAATAACAAACCTCAACCTCCTCTGTGGCTGTGGTCTTATTCTCCAAAATTCTTTAAATCAAAATGTTATTTCAAGAAAAGAGCAAAACTTCACTACAAATTCTACAGTGTGAAGTACAGCTGATTTGAGTTGACAAATATTGCTTGGAGAGTTGTTTCAAACTATTTAATAGTGGTATGTCAACTCTAAAGTAGCCCAGTATTGCTTTTCATACTGTTTAAGCTAAGCGTGTGAGCTGCAAGGTTAAAAACCCTGCGCTCATTGCTCCAAACATTCTCATAAACCTTTTAACTACAGTAAGAAGCTGGAGGGTGGACGTCTCATACTGCAATTGTAGTGGCGACTGAGAAATTCACAGTAATTCTTTATGACAAGTCAAGTCAACAAGCTATTCCTCTTCTTAATATCTCTATAAAGTCCTTGCTGGCTTTGGTAACTGGAAAGAAACAAACCATTAACAGCAATAAAATCTTTCTTGACACAAAAGAAGCGCTTTTTCCTATCTCACTTCAAGAACATCAGCAGTTTCTGCAGGCTTGCATTTGACATCAGATTTATTGTCCTCTGTCTCCTGATTTTTTCTTGTGACCTTTGGGCTAGAATTTGTCTTTCTAGACATCTGAGGACTTTGTCCTTTCCGCTGCAGCTGTGGGCTGTTAGAGCCAACCTTACGGTTGAGCAGGGGGCTCCGGGAACCCTTCATCTTGGTCGGCTGCTGCAGACTATCCATAGTTTTGAGTGGGTGCAGGCCGAGAAGTCCACAGTAGTAGTTGCATTGATGGTGTGTCAGGAACTGTTCGAATACTTCAGGAGAGCCATACTCTGTTAGCCCTTGGTATCTGAAATAAGGGGACAACTTTTTTATTCCAGCTATTCTACTAGAAAATAAACCAATAACATTTGCGTGTACTGGGTAAGATACAAACCCTTTTGACTTGGTCACAACTCTAACATTTGTAATCTTCGTTTCAACACCTGCAAAAAAAAATCACAGAGGATTATTTATATTAAATAAATAAATGATTCCTTTCATTATAACCTTGTATGTGTGTCTTACCATCCATCCGAGTGACCAGCAAATTGCCATGAGTCCACTGATGAATCCAGTGCTGGAAGGAGCTACATTTCTGCTCCATCTCAGAAACAGTTCGTGTAATCAGCTTTCCTTTAGGATCCATCATACAATACTTGAGGAAGGCACCCTTGAGATCAGACTCCACTGTGGCATAAGGCACAGAGTTTGCTGGCCGGTACATCAGATACTGAGGAATCACTCTGTGGGCAACACAAGAAAATATGGTTCTATTGTGTACATTTTAGTATGAATCAAATATCAGAACTACTGTATAAAAAGTGTGGTACTTACTCAAGTGAACAGCCAAAGTTCTCGTTAACTCTTGCTTCAGCTGCAAAGATTTTGCAGTATTCTCGAATCATGTTTTGTACTTTGCATTCCTGGCAACGCAAATAATGTAATTATCCAGATGGTTGTACTGCAGTTATAATGACTAGGAGTTTATTGGTGGCAATTTACCAAAGATTCGTTGTCAATAAATCCACTACTCACTTTCTTAGTAATCTCTAGATTTCTCTCTGCAAGGTTGCTCTCCTGTTTGGTCCCGTAGGCGATGGGGTTTTTGACTTTGATGATGCAGGCGCTTCCAGACTCAAAGACGGGATCCAGGCCGTAAATGACCTTCACTCTGCTAGCTTTGTGAGCGCAGCCGTCCCCGATGTCTGCCGCCTCTGTCATGATACGGCCAAAGTACTTTTCACCCCAGTTGCCACAGTCGGCCAGGCCTTTGGTGAACAGCAGTGGGGTCATCTCGATCTCCTCTCCAACTAAAGGAAAAAAGATACTTACAATGAGCAATAATTTAGAGAGAACGGGGGGAAATGGCTGATACGGTGCATATTTTTAAAAAAGTACCTTCCAAGTCATCTCTTAGTAGTATCTCAGACAGAACTTTAAAGCAGAAAACAGACAAAGATTCTTAAAAGCACAGTTGATAAGGTACGTTTTAGATTGAACACTTGATATATCCAGGCATACTGAATCTTACTGTCTTCACTGAGCAGGTAGTCAGTGATGTCAGTCCCGTATTCGTTATTGATCGAACAGCCATATACCCCACAGTCTTGGCTGGATGCTAGAACAACAGCCAGTGCCACTTGGCTTTCATCTCCTCCACTTGAGGACAAAAAAGGGAAAAACACATATTTTGGGACATGACACGTTAAATGGCCGGTCAGAGTTGCACCTAACTTCAAAGATTCAACAACAACCCACAAGGTGTCACTGTGAGACAGAGGGTCATGCTGTGTGGCAGCGGTCTGCTGACACAGCAGCCTATAGCACATATATAGACTTTTAATGCCCCCTTGAAGATGGGAAAAATATTGTGTCAGGTTACAGTTTATGTGTCTAGCCAGAGATTCACCTTCCTGTGTCACAGCTGTGAGGGTTCACAGTCACATAAGCTTGGACCTCTTTGCAGTGAGATTGTGAGAATGACAGAAGGTCATGGGATGACACTCTGAGGACCAAACAAATCCGTTATCTGTTCCGTTATCGTTTCATATCTGTAGCCTGTCCATTTTTATCATGTTGGCTGGAAATCCTCAAAAATGATTCTGATTTTCATTCTGAAATAATAGCAGCAAAAATACCTACAACAAATTGAACACCATGTTGACATTGCTGTTGATTTGTGTTACAGGTGGTTAGAGTAGTGTTGACGTCGTAAGACAAGAATGGATTTACCTTCTCTTCACCTCTAGTATTTCCTCCTCATCTCTGTACCACTTAATGGTGGAGTCGCTGAGCACATTGAAGAACTGGCACCACAGCTTCAGGTGTCCGGAGGCATCTGGGAATGGCTCTCCCCTGATCTTACGGATGACCTGTGGAGCTGGTAGTACATAAGAGAGGGGTTGCCCAGCCAGGGGGCCAAAGTAAATATATACTGTACTGGAGAGAGGGGACTTTCTAATGTTTCCACTCCCACAAGCACCAGTGTAGTGATCAGACTCATGTGTTGGCAAATGTCAAATTATGTGTAGAGTACTTCACAGAACATGAAAACGACACGTCAAATATGTTACAATGACGACTGCCATTTAACGCCTACTCTCTAATCGCTTGTGATTCTACAGAGCCTGACTATGTAGCTGTGTTGTATATAACTTTGCTGGTTTTATAATAAGTTGAGTAAGATGATAAGTAAGTTATTGTGTAATCAAGACATTGTATTGTGCAAACAAGTCCCTAATGGAAAACATGTAGAATTTGTTCCCACAACAGAATATCTTCCCAAGAAAAACAAATTCCATCTTTTAGGACTAAATCACCATTTACCTTTCAAAGGGTCTAGCTTCTTTTCAGCTGGTTTCTCCTCTTGTTTGGTGCTGACTGGCTCTTCTGTGGGAATCTCCTCCAGGACTTTGGGCACCTCCAAGGTGACCTTTCTGCGGCTTAGCAGCGGCGAACGCCTCTCCGTTGGTGGGGTATTTTGTCCAGTGGGAGCTTGTAGTAATGTTGCTCTGCGAGCCTGGCTGGGTGACATGTGGGGTATTTCCTTCTTGCCTAGAGTATCTAGAGCACCAACCACTGCTCCTTCTCCATCCTCTTTAGGTTTTGGGATGAAGATTTTGCGACGAGCTCCGGAGGCCAACTCTTCAGGCGTGGCAGAGCGTATGAGCGACAGGCTGTCTCTGCGTTTCAGCCGGGGACTGCTTTCACAGGAGAGGGATGATGTTGGTGTTGAGCCTCCACTTAGATCGTCGTCTGCCTTGTCACTTGGGCGGTCGCCCACAGTGATTACAGGGACAGCCGTCACAGCCTCATTGTCTGAGTCTGGAGCAACTTTGGACATGAATTTGCGAAGACTGGCTGGACTAAGTGATGGACGTGTCAGGGGTTTAGGGCAGAGTCTCTCGACAGGCGATTTGCTTTTTTGGAGGTCTTCAATAAACACAGAATTCTCAATCTTGGGTTTTGTCTTCAATATATCAGGGACAATGTTGTCTTCTGTTGTTTTACTGAATGATGGCACTTTGTCACTGACCTTTGTCATTAAAGCTTCATTAGGCATAGAAGAAGTGTTCTCTTTTATGCTTTTATCTGCCATTTGTTCTAGGTTCTGCTTTCTACTTTGAGTTTTTCCAGGTTTAGTAGTCATATTATTGTCAACATCATGTTCCTGCTTTGTTCCCCTTTGCGTAATAGCTGAAGTTTCTGTTCCTGTCCACTTACTTTGACTGGGCATTGTGAATCCAGAATCCCTTTCATGACAAATGACAGAGATCGGTGGCACCACACACAAAGGCACCACAGGGGTTTCAAAAGGCTGCAGTGTGTCTGAAACATGGGTGTTTACAATTATATCATTCTCCTTATCATGAGTACATGAATGAAGATTTATAACAGGAATTGATGCGTAGTCCATCTGAGAGAGCTGTTCACTGCTTCTCACAAGTGGCTGCTCCTCCTCAGACATTTCTGTCTTGTCACCTAATTGCGCAACTTCCTTTACCTTCTCTATAGGTGAGGGGTTATAATCATTCTGCATTCCTTTCTGTGTGGGAAACAAGCTTGGACAGTCAGACACCCTCTGGTCTTGTATTATTCCTGTTGACACATGAGTTGCATCATGTTTTTGCAAAGTAGCAGGAACTGATTCTTGCTTCTTTAGTGCCAAAATAGTTAGAGGCAGAGTGCACTCTTTGAACTCAGGCTCCATTATTTCAATTTTGGGGATTATAAAATGTTCATTTGGTTGCACATGTGGAACAGTGGGTTTAAAATCTGGGGTGTCTTCAACAGTAGATATTTGGATTTGTGGAATATTCTCTGAGGGCCAGGCCCTCTCCTTGTTCTCACTGCTATCCTGAGGTGCAACATTTCTGTGTTCCTCCAAAAAAATTGCACCATTTCCCTTGTTTTGCATTACTGAAAGGCTCTTCGATTCAGCCAACTCCTCTACTTTCATTGGATTTCTCTTTCCTGTCTCCACTTCAGACTGTAAATTATCATTCCTTGCTTCAGTGATCTCACCATCTAAAATGACCTGCTCTTGTGTTTTTAGATTGTTACACAAGTTAACTTTTAAATCTTCCTCTAACGCAGAAATCAATACCTCTTTCAATTCATGACTCTCTTCTCTGCTTCTAAAACCTGAGTTTGAACTCTGTATTGCACTTAGATTGTGAACTTCTGAGCTTTCCTCTGCTTTAGAAGAAATGCATTCTTGCTGTGTTTTTAGGTCAACCGTCTCTAAACTATCTGTGGCCACATTGGGCGGAAATCCCACATTCATTTCCTGAATCACTGAAGAACATTCAGCCTCTTCTTTTACATCATCTCTCTCTACACAGTATGCTGCTACAGCAGGCAGAGTCGAAAGCACCTGATCTGGTGTTTTAGAGTCACATGGCTCTATTCTCTCTTCCAGTGAAGATGTTAATTCAGTAATCTCAGACCTGTTTATATCTGGGCATGGCTGTTTGTATGATTTCACTTCATCTTTCTCTACCGCACGTAACTCAAAAGAACGGCCCTCCCCTGTGTCAGGTTCATCTTTGTCCATCTTATCAACACTCATTTCCTTTTCTTGCAAAGTTTCACTGGGTGCTTCTCCAAGGGCGTGGCTGTCTGATGCCGAGATAGCATTGTAAGGGGGAGTCCAGCTGTCTGCCAAACTAGCCAGGGTGATTGTGTGGGAGACTTTTTCTTCATAAGAGACTTTGGACTGTGTCAAGACAGATATATCTTCCCTGGGTGAAGACTCATCTCTTGCAGTCTGTTGATTTGGCTGCGGTGAGACTATTAGGCGATCTGGCTCTTGCTGATGTACAGGAACCTCTTTGATAATTGAGACTACATGAGAAGCTTTCTCTTCAGCCTGACGAAAAGTAAACAAATAAAGCATTTAATCATTTTAACACTTTTTACCATTTGCAGCCACAGCAGTGTCTTGTCACAATGAACTCCCAACACACATGCCTTACACTGCTGGTTTTTCAGCTTATGCATGCAAAATATTTTGATTTCAGTCTGATTTGTTAATGGCAAAGAGTCTGTCCAACCTACTGGGAAAAAACATTTAGCGTCATGTTCAGGAGTTTTAAGAAGCTTGTTACAGTGAACTTATTGCAGTGACACTTTGACAGTGTGACACTGCGACACTTTTAGACTGAGACACTTTTTTCCTGCCATAAATCAGCAGAAGCATAAACAGTGACAGATTCTGACAAACCTGATATTGTAATATCAAACCCTATATCTTAGCCTAACCCTAACCCATCACACCCCCCACAGGGCACTTTAGTCACTCTGTGAAAAAGCTAATGAATTACTTATTGATAAGTAAACAATAAATAGTTCAAAGATATGCGGAACAACTACAGCAAGGAAATATATTCTTGTGTTTATGACCTGTCAGCCTATTTCAGGAACTTCTTTACGTCATGTCACGTGCAAAGAAGTAGCAGAAACCAAGTGTTTACACATTCTAGGGTCCAACAGGGTTTATTTTTTTGAGATTGAAACTTTCTGAATCAAGCCCTGAACTGCACATCCATTTTCTTCTAACTTTTATGTCTGTGATTTAATCCATCAAGCAGAGTTTGAAAGTACTTGTGTACTCTGCTTTGCTTCTTATGTTGAAACAAGGACTGGGGAATTTCTACATAGGTGTGTTGTTTATACAAAAGATCTTGCTGGGTAATGAATGAATCATAGCTTGTCTCTTGGCAAGAGACCAATAATAACATGGATGATTCACATAAATCTGTTGGGCACATTTGGCTCTATCATCAAGCTGTTGAGGAAACCAAACTATAATTGACAAAGAAGAAGAAGAACAAAACCTGACTTTGATTATTATTATTATTATTAATATGCATAGTACTGAAGAGAGGATTTATAGGTAAAGCTTCAAGCCACATAGAAGTGTTGTTGGGTTTTTACCCTTACTTTCCCTGTTTTTTCTGTTCTCTCACCATTAAAAGTTATTCAGATGAGTAATGAAGCCACCTGCCTCGTGACAACATGTTTGGCAGGCAGTCTCTACTGAGAAAAAAAGAAGTTACTGCTTTCCAGTTCAGGAACTGCTGTCATTACACATTCACTACACCTCGGTGTGTCAATGTATGTTACACTCATGTGAGAAAATATTGTTCAGATAATGGGTTTGACATTCTCGAACTAATTATCCACAAAGCCTCATATTATATCACCACCATAGCAAAGGTACAGCTGTAGTTCAACATTATAGACATACAATGGCTCTGCAGGTGAATAATGTTTAAACATAGTGACTTCAGTTCCCTTTTCCACATGTCATTCTGCACCACATAACTGGCTGTTAATTCATAATGTAGAATTCCGAAACTGCTGTGTTAGTCAAACTTCCCGGACCAAAACCAAATTGATAAACTTGGAATACATTTGGATTCCTTACGTTCAAGGATCTCATTGTCTATTAGCAAGAATAAATATGAAACTTAAAAAAAAACATTTTGATTTTGATGGGTTAAAATAACCTCGTAAACGTTCAGAAATAATCACATATTTTATATTTATATATATATATAAACGATTCACCAAATTCTTCCCAACTTTTCCTCATGCAAATTCAACAAAATTTGCAGAAACAGTATTATAATAAATACAATATTGGAGTGAGTTTTGATATGTGCAACTAAAACCACCTGTCCACCAATTTAAGTTCATATCTTTTTGATTTGCCAGGGGATTTCACTTTACTTGGCCATATAGTATTTAACTTATTTTCATAAACTATTATTTGAGTGTCACTCTGCCATCAATAGAGATAAATTCATCTTGTACAAAAATAGCTACAGGTAAAATCTGAGAATTTTGTCATTTGTGAAGATACATGATCATGTATACATTTAAAAAAAGACTTTCAGCCTTATCACTTGAAAGAAAGTCATAAAACAAATCCAAAAACAGTGACGCACAGTCACATGGTCAAACTGAACTAAATCATGATGATCGTAGCAAATAGTCCTAATTTCCTACACATGGCAGAAAAACAATTCTCCAAGCTGAACACTGAGATCACAGAAGTACTGCCTTCCTCCCACTAGACAAGGAAGGGGTTTATTTTAAGATATGGGGGGTGGGGTTGGCAGTGAGGAATGCGTCCAGTGTGACGAGGCCCTCCTTTCATGCTGAGACCTGCCGCAGAACTCACTCTACTCCTGCTCATCCAGACCACACGGCCGTCTGTCATGCAAAGTTCTATTTGTAATGTGAGTATCTCCTCTGACATTCAGGTTTCATCATGATCTCTGACGCACTGGTGTCCCTCTCATACGATCTTACAGTGTGCAGTGTAGATACACAACATCCCCCACCCCCACATATATTAAGTGCAAGTTGCCATTATGGTTCCCTAATCATCCCACGCTATCTTCTTTGCCTTGTCACTCTTAAGTGATATGGATGTAGTTTCACATGGCCAGGCTGACTCACTCCACCAGTCGCTGATCACTGATATTATACTGTAAGTGGTTATATTGTCTGACTGTAACACACTGCCCCATGAATATAACATCTAACTATGAGGCGTAATGCGCTTCTTATCTACCACATTTTCAACCAGCAGCAGCTCAAAGCTGAAGCTATGTCATAGTTAACATAGTTCCGGTTTTGGCCCTGAAGTAGCTCATCTTGAACTATCTTGTCACACAAAAGCGGCCTATATATAACTCTCAAGTAGCAGCCAGCTGCTCTGTAAGGCCACTGTACATACCTCAGTGAGAACGTGAAGCCCAGACAATGACGTTTCTTCACCTGGACTGCTCTCTGGCCCCACAGACACCTCCATGGTTTCCACAGCATCTCCAGCGTTCTTGATACTCTGCCCTGTGGACTCCTCTACGCTCTCAGGTGGCAATGTGTGAGCCGGTGGCAGGTTTGTGTGTAGAACACTGTCTTCATGCTTATGTTCATGTGGCTCCAGCGACACTGACTGTTGTGCTATATCCACAGTTCCTGAAGGCTCCTTTGGTACATCCATTTCCATAGGCACGACGTCCTCTGTGGGAGGCTTGCACACTTTATTATGCTCCGGTTGCAGTTGAAATGATGGTGGCATTTCTGGTTGAGGACCTTGCGCTGAGGCAGGTGAGTGGTCAAATTCTCTCTCCTTATTCTCAACGCGATCATGAGAGTCCTTCTTACTCTTACCAAAGAGGAAGTCTTTGACTGTGTGGAGCATAGAGGAGATGGACGCCTGGATGTGGTGGTGGTCGTGGTCCTTATGAGCCTTGCTGTGTTGTTTGACCTCCGAACCATGTTTTGTGTAGGGTACTGTATGTGACATCTCCAACGGCCTTTCCCTTTCTTTCTCCCTCTCTATGGCCAGTTCTTCTTCTCTCATTTTCTCTCTCTCATACTCTACCTTTAGTCCCTTTTCTTGTTCTTCCCTGTCTTTTTGCATCCTCTCTTTTTCTCTACTGGAACTTACAATAGGCATATCCATCTCTTTGGGTTTCTCCCCTCCGGATGAGTTCTGTTTCTCCTCAGCAGCCTGGGACTGCAGAGTATCTGCCAGAAACTGTGCCAAACTGATTCCTCCATCATAACAGTTTTCACCTCCATTCCCCATTATGTGGCTTCTGCTACTGCTGCTGCTGCTATTAAGACCAGCATCTACACCATTTGAGATCCTTATTTTCTTTTTGGCCTGTTCCAAGTCACTGTCTATGGATGGCACAGGGGCTGTTTCCTTGGCTTCAGCACTAACTCCATTAGGTTCTACAGCAGCTCCTAGTTGTTCCACAGCCTCGGGCTCCTTGACCGCTGGCCTGTCCTCTGGTGGTGGGACATGCCGCTTCCTTTGAGGATGCTCTGGGCTACTCTGTGGCTGCTCTTTATGAATGTTTTCTTTATCCCCCTTCTCCAATTCCTTCTTCTTCTTCTCTGCTTTCTGCTTCAGCTTGGCAAAGAACCTCTGGTGTATCTTGAATTCATTCATGGTGCCGACCTCCAAAACTCCCGAGCAGGAGACAATACCTTTGCTATTGCTGGCTGAGGCCTGATAGATGGCTGCATCATCCAATGTGCAGCTGAAAACAGAAACACTTAATTAATCTCATATTATACATATATTGTACACTGACAGTGTTCAAATTTGCAACAAAAAGATGCATTTTGTGTGTGTTACATACTTGTAAATATGGAGGGTGTGGGTTTTTCCATTACGACGAATTTCATATTTTGGGAGTCCACAATAGCGGTCCATTTCCATATCATCTTTGTACCATTTCAGTTCTGGAGCTGGGTAACCTAAAGACATGGATAGATGAATTGATTGCCTCTTGATTATAAACATTACAATCCAGGTACCACAAAGCACTGTTCATGAATATTTGTTTCACTGGGATGATGTCCAAAGAGACAGTTCACCATAAATATAATTTTATATGAATAATTAATTTAGGAAATTAGACAGTAAACTAAATCTAGTAAAGAAGATTTGTAATCAACTTGCTTTAGGCTGTTGCATCATGTTTTATGACATTTCCCACAGAGGAATAGTTGCTGCAATCTGCCTGCTGGTTAAAACACAACATCCTGGAAACGCTGCTTGAATAATAGATGGACTGCTGTGTTTAAGGAGCAGTTCAGGAAGAAAAAAAGCAGTTAATTTTGGTGCCTTCAAAGTGAAACCCTTCCTTTGTTTTCATTTTAGTCACTTCTTGTTGCTTCACATCACAATCTGTCAAGTTTTAGTTACACCAACAAACAACAAGCAGAGGCACACAAATGAACAAGACTGTAAAGAGTAGACCTACCTGATACCACACAGGCGAACTTCACATTACAGTTTTCTGACACTGCCTTTGATTTCAAGGTGGTCTCGAAGGAAGGCTGAATGTCCTCGGTCAGCTGAGCCATGATGCTACACAATGTGCTCCTGGAAGCAAACACTAATGCGTCATTTATAATGTGTCAGTTTCTTGCATTGAAAAAGTACACAGCTTTGCGCTTCAGTATCATTTCAGTGACCTGTTGACCTCTGTGCAGTGCATTCCAAAGACTTGCTTAGTTAAGACGAAAAGATGTTAATGGCAAATTTCTGGTAGTGACGAGAGAGTGAACGAGTGACACAGAGACTTGTGAGATGTCAAGCAAAACAAAGTTGTCAATCCAACACTAAGACCGATGTTCATCACTGAAACTGAACGCAACACTAGACAAACACGTACAGTTACAAACGTGTGTAGGTTTCATTCTTGGGGTAAACCAGTTTTTGTAGTTAAGATGTTAGTTGGGAGAAATGTTTTTAAAGTATGGATTACCTCGATGGCCTGTAGTGAGAATACCTTGAATAGCTATTCAGAGAGGAGGCAAATGAAGGGACGTCAATGATTAATAAAGATCTGTGTATACCGAACCCACCTACATAAAATTGTTAAATAACTGCCCTCCTCCTTGACAAAAGGAGCACAATATTATTCTTATGGTTTGTAGATTTGAAAATAGAAACACGCATAACTAATATGATCAGTGCGATTGTTGACTCACAATGTGATGTGCTGAACAATGTGGTCAAAATCTATAGTTTGACTAGCTTCATCATTCACTCTTTCCAGCCATATGAATATGAAATATATAGACATTATATATAATATAGAGTATATATAGAGACATTTTCAGTTATGTTTTGTGATCCTACAGCAATATAAATCTGTTTTCTTCACGAGAAAACAAATCTTTGCATTCTCTGTACATGGATTATAGACAAGGTTATCTACCTGTTTTCTGGCCTAACATTTGAGAGGTAAGTATTGCGGCTTTCTGAACGGCCATTGGAAGAGCCGCCCTCATCTTCACTGAAGCTGCTTGTCCTCCCATTGCCAGAATAAGAGCGAGTCATTGGCCTTCTGGAAGTCATCGCCCACTGAAGCAATTCACAAAAAAATTTAAAATCCGAGACAAATGTATCAGCCACAGTATGAAACTACTCCGCATTCACGTCCACAGCTTGTCAAAGCTCAAGGCTCAAATGTATTGGTGTTATCCATGTAAGCCCCCGGAGAAGAAAAAAGAAACTCTTCAGAATGGTGACAAAACCTGTTGGAAGTCAATGAAAGAAAGTAAAAGATACATTCTGGGTTATTTGCTTGTACATAACTCCTCATAGTTCAGACTCAATGCTTGTCCTTTCTAACCAAGCAAAGTACTGCATTGGAGCAAGTTATAAATAGGATCCGCTATCAGGTTGTGGAAGGACTGTTAGTGGTCAAACAGAAGCCCAAGACGTGTTATTTACTTGTATGTGTTAGGAATCTAATTCAGGTGCTTCTTGGTCACCTTAAAACATGGTAAATTTTCCAACTTACCATTGAGATGTTGTCAGTGTTGCTTTGGAGCCAGAGTCTGTGAAGAAAATCTCTGTAACTGCCTATCATAGACATGCATGTGTTGCCAGCAGGGGCCTATTTATAGCAGCCCTACAAATAGGTCCAAGAGCACATCAGATTTTCCGAAACTAAACTTTAGGCTTCGCAAATAAGTCTAAAAAACTATCTGAATTTAGAGTAAAAGCTAACTGTTTAAACCAGAACACATTCCTAAAAATCTGTCATTTCATTTAGCGGTCATACTGTAAAAATGTCACTGCTTTAGTTTGATCCATCTTAATAAATTGGAAAAAGGGTGTTCCATCTTAGTGAGACACTATAGTGGATGTGGAACTGCAAAACATGTCTGTGGAATATGGTTCATGATGTTGATGACAACCAATGGTCAATGTCCTATGCTTTGCTCAAAAGTTGCTAGGACTTCCCCCCTCACTTCGTATTGCAACACATGGTCAAAACATAGACACCCATTTGCTGCTCACATTTCACATCAATTAGACAAACACAGGCTCAGCTGACAAAATCCATATTTTGATTTAATGATGCATTGGTATTTTAGAATACTGATATATTGTATATTATGTTATTGTTCTTCTTTATTTTTATGGGTTTAGACAGTTATTGAGTTGTTTTACAGTGATATTTAGTTTTTTTCTAGGATGAAATATACAATTGTATTAGAAATGTTATTCCTCATTAATAATCACATTTCTATGTAATACTGGTTTGTCTGCATCTCACTACTAACTTGGGCAAGACACTCTTGGAAAAAGATTTTAAAAAAAAGATTTTAGGCCTTCCTGGTTAAATAAAAGTTAAATGCATTTTTTTCAAAGAAGGTGCAACAGTGTTAACAAACCAACAGAAATTCACTTTCCTGTTAAAGTTTTTTGGGGAGTTTTTTCCTTTTCCTTAAGCACATCCTCAAACCAGGCAAATGTCTTTTTTATATATATATCTAATACCCTTTTGACATATACCTTGATGTCTGCAATGTGAAAAGGATGCTGAAATATATAATAATATAATATATAATGATATATTATATAATAATATAATATAAAAATTTAATTATATTCTTAAATGTAGAAAAATGACAAAATAGAATAAAGACATGATTAGAATACGTTTTGTATTTAAATGCTTTCATTAATGGTCAATAAATGATCAAAAACTTTAAACGGATTTGAAGACTATACATTTTCAGATATTAAACACACTATGCTGTGTTTAACACAAACCAGACTAAATCTAGAATTGTCTTTGATTTCTTTATCTCAGTGAAAGTCTCAGTGTGCGTTTGTCCCGTTTTAAAGTCACATTTGTAAATCCCTAAATTCAACTCAGCCTATGATAGTACACCACATGAAATAGAGCCAGATTGCTCATTACCGTAATGTCACAAATAGGGGCTTTAATGGCACGGTTCCTATCAACTTAACCGGCGCAGAGTCTATCTGTTTGGCTGCTTTTCAAGTTGAGATATATTGTTATGTTAAAATCAAAATAAATATCTCTATGTTTTCAGTGTACCGTAGGCGAGAGAATCTTTATGTTGAATGATATGTACCCATATTATAGACTTACCGGTAATGAGTGCGTGTACGTCGTCTCGTTCCGGGAAAGGGAAGCGTTGCACCCATTTACTTAAATTATGAAGATTGGCTGGAGGAAAACATATTGAGTCTCAGGTCCGACAACTGCTCAACTGGTACAAGGCTGACGGCAGGTATGCAATAAAACATGTGTGTTTACTTTTTTTCATGTCTAAATGACGACATTTCTAACTGAGTGTACTGTATTGTTCACTGCTGTGAAGATTTAAAGCTTAGACCTAACGTTACTTCACAAGAAATGAGAAGTTAGCGGCTGAGGCGAGGCATCATATTTACAGATGTTATTGATGTCGTAGTTTTAGTTTATATGGGCCGGTGGACAACTAACGTTATAGGGAGTTATCAAAAAATAAACTTTGACTGAACTTCTTACAGTCTGTTATAAGAAGAAAAAAATGCACTGATGACTGGATCTGGCCCCAAACCCTGTCGAATAATGATCAGAGGTAGGTCATATCTCTACATCACACCACAGCTTCAGCGTTCTGTGGAAAAAAAGGGGAATATGATTTCAGATGACTGTTAATCTCACTTGATTTGTTTCAGAAATTGTCATAGTGTGCCATCCTGTCTCTGTGTGTGTACCTGTGAACCATAAGGTGACACTGAGTGTCCGCGCTGAGGGCACAGGCATCCTCCACTACCAGTGGTTCAGTGATGATGAAAAGGAGGTAGGCCTATGTGGATTTTACTTTTGTGCATTAAAATATCTAAATGTTTTTTGAACGGTTTAAAACATGATACTTTTGCATTTTGACTGACACTTTAATGTGGACAGAATGTCTACTGTGTATGAGAATTGTGTGTTGTTGTGTATTTTATGCTTATACTATATTGTTTATTCTGGTGCACAAGATTCTTGATCTGAGATCTTGATCTTCAATGAAACCAGCTGTTTAAATAAAGGATTAACTAGCTACTTTGAATTACACATTAAAAGTTTTGCATGAATGTTTCTTTACCTAGTTTAACTTATTTTGTTGTGTTTTCAAGGTGTGTGGTGGCACTGGAGCAGACTTGACATTCACAGCTAAAAAAAGTCAGCTCTATGTCTGTCGAGTGAATGACCACTTTTGTAACTGCGTGTTCAGCGAGTGGGTGAAAGTGAAGGTGTTGGACATTGATAAATCAGGTATGCTTTGTGCCATTCTCATGTTGACTTGACATGATTTATAATGTAGCAGTGTTGTGCTTTACTTGCCTCTGCCTGTCAGTTTTATACATATTGCTACTTTATTATTGTGAGTTTGAATCTCTGTCTCTCTTTTCAAACATGATCAGGTTTGCCAGTACACTGGCAGGGTGAGCCACACATTGCTATTAACCCTAAACCCCAAACAGTCCGACAAGGTACAAAACTTACTCTCCACTGCGCTGCCTTTGGAATCCCCACGCCACACTATCAGTGGTACAGAAATGGACAGCCGCTACTGGACCAGACTAGTGGCACACTGCAGGTAGGGAAGCATGACAGGCATGTATTTACTTACCTCACTGCTGATAGTGATTGTTTACACTGTGCTTCACAGACTCCTTCACCAATCATGTAACTCAGTTAGAAAATCTAGTTAATATTTTGCCAATGTTTTGATTTTTGGTTGAGTTATCTTAACATGTGGGAGAATAGCTATAAATACAGGGTAGGAATATAATCTATTGTGGTATTTGCAGATTGACCATGCAACAGCCGAACACGGAGGTTCATACCTGTGCTCCATATCAAACGTACTAGAAGAGACATGGACTGAACCAGTCGATGTTGACATTGGTAAATCATAACTGAAACTACTTTTTTCTACTATCATTGTATTTTTCTCAGACGTTTCCTTCATTTCAAATGAAAGTGCTGTGAAGAAAAACATTTTCTTTACACTCCTTTGATTCCACTGATTTAGCACTTAGGCATTAAGTTGTTTCCATTATGCTGGAGGTACTTTCCCATTTCTACAGACTGAAAAGGAAGTTGTTAGACTCCAAATAGTACTTGATCCGAGCCTTAGCCACACAACAGGAAAGTGAAACTAGTCCTTGCAGTTTTTTGCCCGTTTCTAACTTATGTTGTGGTTTGTACAGTGCATTTAACAAAAAAATGTTTAATAGTAAAAATTTAATGTGCCTTCTGGACTTATTAACTGATTTTGTGCTTCTTTTTTAATATTCTCTAGTGCAAACTGATCAGCCCCCTTCTGCAGCAACCACAGGTACAATTTTATGGAAAGAAAGTCAACCCACTCTATTTTAAGCGAGCTAGAGAGGAAATCTATCACAGTATGCATTCAAATTTCCTTGTGGTTTTCACCGTAATTCTACTTGATCTTTGTTTTAGCCACTGATAAAGTTGCCCTACTTATTGGCAACCTGAATTACTCCAACCACCCTGGCTTGATGGCCCCCATTATGGATGTACATGAGCTGGCCAACCTCCTGCAGCAACTTGGCTTCAGAGTGGTTTCTCTGCTGGATTTAACAAGGGAGGAGATGCTGGCCGCTATTGACAAGTTCATTCAGCTCCTTGACAGAGGAGTTTATGGTGAGTAGTATAATTTGTCCTCGGGGAAATGCTGACATAGTCATTCAAAGATTTTTTTTTGTTGGATTTGAAATATGACATTGTAACATCCTTTGTTGTGTTCTGTTGCACCTATCTGTTGTTGTCCACTTGCCATGTGTCATGAAGTCACGTACATGGAGCTTATATGGCTTAATGCCTGTATATTGTATTTGTAGAGGGTAATGGACAATAAGGCAAATATTGTTCTGTCTCTCTGTGTGATCAGTTACACAGTGTTAAACCAAAAAATGTAGTGTGCATTGTAGTATACATTCAGTGATTAATAACTAGAGCAAACTAGTCATATTGTCCAGGGGAGCAAAATCATAAATACAGACAGATAGCAGACAGTATACACAGAGCTGTATAATATGAAATTATGTTGATAAAATATAAACAATGGTAAGAGAACTGTCATGCTGTGTCAGAATGATGCTTTTATCACTATTCTCTGCTTGAAAGCAGAATATGATTATTACACTATGTGCAATTCAAAATGTTTACAATTCTTATGGTCTTGCAGCTGTAACAGGATGTGTATTGTATAACTCTTGCCAGGCCTTTTCTACTATGCGGGTCATGGGTATGAGCGTGCTGGAAGGAATTACTTGGTAGCTGTTGATGCTCCACAACCGTACCGACCTGAAAACTGTGTCTGTGTGCAGAGGATCGTTCTCAGCATGCAGCAAAGACGCACTGCGCTGAGTGTAATCCTACTGGACACCTGTAGAAAATGGTGGGTGTAGTAATTAATTTCTATTTTCACTAAGAGATGACCATGACCCATGGATTTTCACATTTATTTGCAAATTGATGATTATACATATTTTATTAGACAAAATTAAACTATTACTATACCATACATGTACATATACTATTTATTTTGTGAGAATACCCAAGTTATCAGGATTTATTTTGAGTGCTTCATTCTTGTTAAAAACTGTATTTTACTTACAGGTACAACCAGGATTGCATACCTTCATACATCATGCCATTGGGACCCAGTGGGAACACAGTTTACGGTTATGCCACGTATGTACTTTTAATTTTTATATATATATAATATAGCAGAACTAAATCTTTTGCTAACTCTTTTTGAACATTTCCTCATTTAACCATGCAGATGTGAAGATGCTGAGGCTTTTGAGGTCCAGGACGGAGGGAAAAGTACTG